GAGGTCATTAGAGGTCATTAGAGGTCATTAAAATTCAATTTTATTTTATTTTATGAATTTCGATCACTAATTAGGCGTGCATCCAAAAAATTGGAAGATTTGAACCATAAATGGAGGCAGGCCCCCCCCCTTACATCAAATGTGCCAACTCCACCATCCCCTTTACTCAAATATTAACAAACGGTAATTTTCGACCACTAGCGACCATTTTATAAGAAAGAATGAGAATAAAATAAAACCGCTGTACCTCATCATGTTTTCTCTGTATGTGTTTAGTTCTCCGATCACAACATCTAACACAGAGAACCGCTAGGAGAAGGGACATGAGGAGAAGAATTGAACCGGCAACCACAATATACAACCAGGCACAGGCCAGGTGGGAGGTGCAGAAGGGTATTATAAGAGCTATGGCGGGCAGGGCTGGGATCCAGACAGGATCAGATTTTAAGAAGCAGTGAGCCGGAGGATCAACGGAACTAAGATGGCAAGATATATGGCGGGAAGACACTGTGACGCAATAAAAACTATCGCCCTATAAGAATGAAAATGTTTGATTTAAAATTTTATTAGTATATTGTCAAATCTTGACGAGGGTCAGGTTTTTTTCAGTTAAAGGTCAAATCGTCATTAAGTTTAAAGTAAAATAGAATTTAATAAAACATAAACAGAATTAAGAACTTTATGAGTTATTTCCAATGTTATGATATCAAGTAACTTATTCTAAAGTAAAGTAAAAGGTAAAAAATTTAATCCCTCGAAGGATAATTATTTTTAAGAAGATGTGTTATAAAATGTTGATACCTCCAGGTCTGGTGACAGATATGATATATCTGCCTTCCCTTCCTTGTTCCTCTCTATATTAATAGTTTCCTGGAGTACAATATCTACTTCACAATCCTCCTCACTAGTAGACTTGAATAGGGTCACATTAGCAGAGTCATACTGTTTTATATCACTACAAGGTGTGTATGAGAACTGAAAGAATGCTTGCATCCTGGTGACAAGGGGAGATGAAATCACTATTTCAGTCGAGTTCTCTTCAAACCTTTGTAAATTACACCAGGGTTGGATTTCTGATTGAATATTGATAAAATCACTGAAAACTTGATCACACGTGGTGGAGTTACATTTAGCAAACTCGACCCTATACCTTCCACCGTATATAATATAGGTGAAGGATGGTGAGGTGGATACAAGTCTACCAGCTTCACTCTCCCAATAGTGGAACATGGGATGGATATATTTCTGAGTGTTTGTGTCTCCTGAGACGGATATTCTGTAGGGTTGATCATGTTGTCCGTTGAGACAGGTTAGAACATTAGGTCCAGCTCCAGATATAGAAATATCTAGGGAGGATGAAGAGACGTTGTGCTGAACCACTAAACCCCATTTTGATTCATCAATCTAGAAAAACAACCAAATGTTTTACATTCTAGTTTTAATATTTGATAAAATTTGTACCTGAGAGAAACAGTTTATTTCGTTGTCGGAGCAAAACACGGATTGTCCGAACCATAGATAAATCCAAACCAACTTCTTCCCTGGGTTCATTTCTCTTCTTAAGGATCTCCATGTATTTGGATTCTCTTTCACCTCATTTTCGAACCATCTCAACTCAACAAGATCCGTCTGAAAATGTATTTAGTTAAATGTCAATTAAAGATCTGTAAATTGAGAGCCAAGGAAACGTGACTAAAGGTTTACAACCTCCAGGATTTGCCAATTTAAAACGGTAAATTGTTCGGACGACCATTTCGAGGTGGTTTGAACGCGAAACTAAGGAATATCATCAGAAAACTAATTTATTGAAGATATCAGGAGCAAAACAATTATCTTATTTCACACCTCTGTATTTTAATTGAGAAGATTATATTTAAATCAGATATTTGCAAACAGAAATAAAGAAATCCAGGGAATTGGATTGAACCTGGACCTCAATTCTTATCATCTAACAGTGACATGTTGCAAAACAATGTCTCTGAATTTCTATTGTAACCTGAGTACTAATTAAACTGAACAAGGGTTAGAAGGAAGGAATAAAATAATGAAAACCGTGAGAAGACAAGTTCAAGGATAACAATGACCGGATGATAAAACCTAATTTACAAAAGCGAAAACTATATAAGATGGAGGGGGGAGGGGGAATTTAAATATTTTTACAAAACGTCTTTTTACCGCACATAATTTAATTACAGTTTTTAAAAATTTGTTTTTTTTTAAACATTTTGATCGGAAGTGACTTTTACTGTTGAGTTCCAATTTCTCATGTGAATTTCCCCCCCCCCCCCCCATATTATTATTAACATTTTCTGCATAGATAGTTTTACTGAATTAATCTTCTTATCTTATTTTTCAATCCTAATCAGACACAAACCAAATCTTATCAGATTATGGAACACAAACTCAATCCAAATTATCTATAGAGTTACCCACAAAGGATGAGACTTCAGAGACGACTGTACATAATCTATATAGTTCATTGATATATTCATGTTTCCCGGCAGCTATAATCTTGTTTCTTTACTAAATAATCTAATATACCATTATAGAACTATATCTAAAACAGAAAACCTTAATATCGTTAGTTTATAAGAATTAAAGGTTCTCATTAAAGTCTCATCCGTTCTGGGTTAGCCTGTATGTAGAAGAAACACCTATGGCGGACCGCGCCAATTTCAACCCCTCTGCAGAAATATTTTAACTAATCTAAATACCAGAGACCAACCTGACCGTGAAACCAGATAATAATGAAATACAAATATTATCTTAAGATTTCGAAAAGTAATTACTATTGACAATATCTAACCCTACAATCTACGTAAAAATAAGTCCATTATAGTTATACACACATATTATTTTAGTCTTATAAAATATATTCTATATTCATATTATAAAATATATATATTTATTTATAAATACAGAATACTATTAATGTTATTCCAGCTGATGCCTAGAGGTTTACTAGATATATCTAGAGAGCTAAGGATTGAAATAGGCTTCAAGATATCACACACATTTACAGGGGGAATTCATCTTAGTCTGCGTAAAGGGAATATATCAACTTTAAACAAACAGTGTTCACTGTCAAGACAGGTATTTCTAAACTAATCTTATTTTTTATATATCTGTATGATATAATGGTTGTACAGTGCGCGTATAAGAATGGTTTGTATTGAGCAGAGACCAGGTCTCCTCTCTACCAACTATCCCAGTCTTAACTGTTAAACTTACTGGACTAAGATTGGATACTAGGACCCACACTCACTTCACTCTTAATTTGGTTTCAATTCATGTATACGTGCATATACAATATACAGTATACAATATATATTGATTGAACCCTCCACACACACCTGACTAACTTGACCTGCCCTAAATCTGGTATTATAACACCGTATTTTCTAATATTATATTTTCTTATTTCAAAGGAAAGAAAAACAGAAGACTAGAAAAGGAGAATTAAAAGTAAAAAGTAGAGAGAGATATAGCGACGAAAAATAAGAGAAAAAACGGTAAAGGAAAATAGGCAGGTCAAAGAAGAATAAAGAAGGATTACAGAAGTAGAAAAGAATAGGGAAAAAAAGAATACAGAAGAATAAAGAAAAGGAAGAAAAAAGTATCGAAGAGGAAAGAGAAGGGGTCAGAGCGGAAAGTGAAGGATGCAGAGTATAAAGGAAAAATAGAAAGAATATAAGAGAATAGAGGAGGATAGAGGAAAACAGAGGTAAGAGGATAGGAGAGGATACAGGACGAAAAAGATCATGAAAACAAAAGAGAGGGATACGATAGAGAAGAATAGAAGAGGATAGAGAAGAATAAAGGAGAATGAAGAAGAATAGAGGAGGATAGAGAAGACTAGAGGAAGCGAATAATAGAGGATGATAGAGAATAATAAAGAAGATTAAAGAAGAAAAGAGGAGGATAGAGAGGAATAGAGTAGGACAGAAATAAATATAGGAGGATAGAGACGAATAGAGTAGGATAGAGGAGAACAGAAGAGAATAGAAAAGAATAGAGAAGAATAGAGAAGAACAGAGGAAAATAGAGACGAACAAAGGAGAAAAAAGAAAAGAGGAGGATAGAAAAGAATAAAGGAGGATAGAGAAGAATAGAGGAGGATAGAGAAGAATAGAGGAGGATAGAGAAGAATAGAGGAGGATAGAAAAGAATAGAGGAAAATAGAGACGAATAGAGGAGGAAAGAGAAGAATATAGGAGGATACAGAAGAATGGAGAAGAATATAGGAGGATAGAGAAGAATAAAGAAGGAAAGAGAAGAATAGAGGAAAATAGAGAAGAATAGAGGAGGAAAGAGAAGAATAGAGGAGGATAGAGAAGAATAGAAGAGGATAGAGAAGAATAGAGGACGATAGAGACGAATAGAGAAGGACAGAGAATTATAGAGAATGATACAGAAGAATAGAATTGGTAATAAAAGAAAAGTGAAGGATAGAGAAGAATGGAGGCGGATGGAGAAAAGTACATAGAAGAAGATAGAGAATGATAGAGGAGGAGGAGGATAGGATAGAAAAGGATAGATGAGGATAGATGAGAATAGATGAAAATAGAGAAGAATAGAGGAGGATAGACAAGAATAGGGAGGATTGAGAAGAATAGAGGAGGATAGAGAAGAATAGAGGAGGATAGAGAAGAATAGAGAAGGATAGAGAAGGATAGAGAAGAAAAGAGGATGATAGAGAAGAATAGAGGAGGATAGAGAAGAATAGAGGAGGATAGAAAAGAATAGAGGAGAATAGAGAAGAATAGAGGATAGAAAAGAATAGAGGATAGAGAAGAATAGAGGAGGATAGAGAAGAATAGAGGAGGATAGAGAAGAATAGAGGAGGATAGAGAAGAATAGACGAGGATAGAAATGAATAGAGGAGGATAGAGAAGACTAGAGGAGGATAGAGAAGAATAGAGGAGGATAGAAAAGAATACAAGAGGATAGAGAAGAATAGAGGAGGATAGAGAAGAATAGAGGAGGATAGAGAAGAATAGAGAAGGATAGAAAAGAATAGAGAAGGATAGAGAAGAATAGAGGAGGATAGAGAAGAATAGAGGAGGATAGAGAAGAATAGAAGAAGATAGAGAAGAATAGAGGATGAAAATAATGTTACCTTATCGAAATTATTTATTTTGATTTTTAAGCCATTGCAGATTTATTACTCTTCTATTCCAATTTTGGCACAAATCATCAAATTTTCGAGTTGTCTTCTCCCCATAATAGGTCTTGTTTTTGGTACTTGAAATAGGTTAACGATTAGTTGCATTGATTCTATCAGTTCAGAATAATCCATTTCATAACACTATTTCAAGCACCATTTTAAATAAGGTAGAACGAAACTAAGTTAACAGTTAACTATTAAATGTAGTTAGATAGTTATCAGTTAACTTGTAAATAGAGAAGCATCAATTCAATGAAAACATAGTTTACTAAAATAAAAGTCATTTGAAAAGGTATATCATCAAAAGTAAAATACCAAGAAAAAGAGAAAGCGTATCTGGTCTTGAAAGTTAAATTTCGTACCATAAAGAAAATAAAAAGTTGAATCAAAAGAAAAACATGGACTTGAGAGTTAAATATGAAGCAAGTTAATTAAAAAGGCATCCTTAAAATAGGTATTTCATTGTTTAATACTTATTTATGATAAAGTAAATCTTAAAAGGCTATATGATAGATAAATTTTAAGAATTTGCTAAAGTTTAAATAAATTCTTTCTGACGAAAGATATCAAAAATTGAATCAATTATAAAAAGAGAGAAACAAGACCTTAAAATGGGGAGGACAACACTAACCTTGATGAGAGACTGAATAGAAGTTAATTTCGGTCTGCCCTCTTTCACTACTTTTCTATTACTGACTTTAAATTTGATTGGTGTATTCGTACAACTTAGTCAACTTGGAGGATTTCGGAGAAATAATTTCGCGCATTTGTTAATTTAATTTTCAACTATTTTAAATAATTCTATCCAAAAAACGAGGATAGAGAAGAATAGGGAGGATTGAGAAGAATAGGGAGGATTGAGAAGAATAGAGGAGGATAGAGAAGAATAGGGAGGATAGAGAAGAATAGAGAAGGGGATAGAGAAGAATAGAGTACGATAAAGAAGAATAAAGAATTATGGAGGACAGAGAAGAATAGAGGAGGATAGAGAAGAATAGAGGAGGACAGAGAAGAATAGAGAAGGATACAGAAGAATAGGAAGGATAGAGAAGAATAGAGCAGGACAGAGAAGAATAGAGGAGGATAGAGAAGTATGGAGAAGGATAAAGAAGGATACAGAATGATGAGAAGGATAGAAAGAATAGAATTGGATAAAAAAGAAAAGTGAAGGATAAAGAATGGAGGCCGATGAAGAATAGTACATAGAAGAAGATGGATAATTATATAGGATGATAGGATAGAAAAGGATAGAGAAGAATAGATAATGATAAAGAATAGATGAGGATAGTAATAGAAGAGGAAAGAGAAGAATAGAGGATAGAGAATAATAGAGATGAATAGAGTAAGAGAATATTAAGTAAGAATAGATTAAATAGAGAAGAGCGGAGAGAAGACTTATGTAATTTAGGTATTGATTTAATTTTAATATTTAATAATTTTAATTATTCCAAAAAAGAAACACTTAATTCTAATACAAATACTCACCTAAATTTACTGATTCAAGGAGAGGGGGAGAAGTACCAACATTTTGTTCTATAAATACAGGACGAAATTAACTGACTAGATAAAGTAGAGCCGGGGGGTAACTGTTTACAAGAACTACAGCGTACTCAATACTGGGTTAAATATATAATAAATACGATAAGGAAGAAAATAAGAAAATACATGAGTTGTATAATTTAATGCAATATCTGGACGTTTCATAATTAACTGGTGATCCAGCTCTCATTTCATAAACCCGGAGGCAAGAACTCTTCATATTGAAGGATGGAAAAGAAGAATTTTTCAGGATTGCTGAATAAGCTGTCAAAATTGAATTGGATAGATCATCCATAGAAAACTTTGAATTCCTTTACATTTCAGTTTTTTATTAGTGAATTCTTATTGATATTTTTCTTGTGAATTTCTGTTTGTTTTGTCAAGTGTTAACTGTATTGAAATCTGAGTCTTTTTTCTGTCCTTTTGTATTTAGAACCATTGCCTGGATGGGATTAAGCTGTTTAAATTTGCCAAAAGATCAGGTTTCAAAAATAGTGTATTGAGTACTGAATAATACGATAATATATATTGTTAACAAAATAATCGGATCACATTCAGAATACTGGTACATACAATAAACATGAGATTCTTCATTCCAACGTTTACTACTATCACTGTTTCAATATAACGCTAATATTCATCAAAAATATTTCTTTTAAATACAATTATGTGTTCGCTTGATTTCTAGACTAGATGGTACACAATAAAGTTAAATACGGACGATTTTCAACATTAAGTACTAGTCAACAAAAATAAAAAGGGTTACCATAATATTGAAAGTAAAGAATGAGTAAACTGTTATTGAGCATAATTATGCGTCAAGGGCAATATGATGAATTATATCTCGCACAATTGTCTAATTCTAAATGATAAACCAACCACTGCCAGTCTCGGAATATTAACTAGTTGATTAATATTCATATTTTTTATTTCACATAATTTTTATTAAAATGTGAAGAAAAAAGATAAATTGCCAATCTGTTACGTCAGCATGGTTTAATATTTTCAAACTGATATGCAAACAATTACAAAAAAGACATTTTTATCGTTTTAATTCGGTCTGTGGGACTAAATAAATAAAAACGCCTAGTATTTTTCAAAAAAGTATTTAATGTAGAAATTAAGTAATTATGGCAAGAAGGAGTAGATAAAATATGTCTTTAAAGTACATTTTTCTTTTATCATTGACTTTTCTAGAATACAATTAGTGGAAGTAGTAAAAATATTTTGAAAATTTAAGAGATTTCAGAATGAAAGACTATGATTGAAAATGAATTTAAGAGTTAAATAAAACACCTTTTTTTAATAAATCAACAATGTTTTGGCGATTTGCTGAAAAGTAAGCATGAATTAATTTATGATTGGTTTAGGTAAATATTTTTTTAATAAGCTTGTTTGTGAAATTATTTGCAAAGATTGAAAAATTTCTTTTGAGGGAAGAAAAAAATAATAGCTAATGTCTAAGTAATCTATGATTAATATAAATCTATGATCTGTCTTATTCTGTTCTGGAATAAAGAAACTGAACAATTTCCACCCCTAAACTTTTCTAGATTGAAAAGAGCACCGGTATGTTATTGGCTGGTTGAGGAGTATTATTCATGTATATTAGGACGTCAATGCTATTTGTTCAGATGCACGGAATCCATACAATCCATTCTTATTGTTTATGGAAGAATATTTTTGGCACGGAATGTTACAAAACAAAATTCTAAGTTTTAAAGGTAAATATGAGATTAGGAAATGGTCTAATTCTATTTATGGAAACTGGAAAGTAAGATCATATCTAAATCTACCAAATTTCTAGTGAGAATTTAGGTAAGGGGTTTGTAAGATAAAGCTTTCAACCCTGAGAAACTCTTCTCGTTCCATGTTTATATAGATTAATTCTGGGTTGATGATAAGAGTTAGAACCCGTTCTTAAACTCATGTCCAAGTAAAGTTCCGTTCTCCCCGTCGTAGAAAGATACGGTGAATATATTATCCTGAAACAATTTACATTATTTATTTAATAAATTAAAACTTCAAAAGATTTTGAAAGTTTCCATTACCTCGTGGTGTCGATACTGCTTGAGAGAATCGAGGAGGTTTCGAACCTGAGGTCTATGCTCCGCCCAGAGTCCAGGTTTTGCTTCTACAGGATGGATCCACCGTGCAACGTCCTCCAAGTGCTGTGGGAGCAGATACTCTGTCCCTGGGACAATGTTAAAGCTCTCGGAACCATATCTGCGATCACAAATCTTTAAATCCTCGTATCTCACACACATTAGCCTCCTATAATTTCCACGAAACATCTCCGAATCCAGGAGTTTGAGAATACTGAAGAGTAGTTGACTGTGTGCCTCGTAGTTTGGAAACTTTGGAGGAGCTAATCCTTTCCTCAGATGAACCAAACACTCATATGCTAACTTAGACGTTACAAGTATTACTCTTCGTTCTTGGTCATTCAGGAGGTTAGAAACCCATCCATCAGGATTCTCGAGGATTCCATCAGGACCCTCGGTGAACTTCTCATCATAAACGTCGGTGACATCGTTCACATTGAGAATGCTGAGAGATAAAAGCCAATTTTTGAAGAGACGGTTTAGATCTTTAAATCTCTCTGTATCTGGAAAGTAGACTAGAACCAGCTCCTGGTGCCTTAGTCTACATATGTGTTCCATCTCATCGATAGTTAATGACCGAGGAATGTTCTTTTCTTTGATTAGCTCCGGCTCTGGTGAAGAGTTCGGAGTGGTTTGTTCTTTCTTACATTTAACCACGGTCCAGAGAAGAAGAAGGAGACTGAGGAAAAGTATTCCACAAACGCAACCAATAAATATTGGTTCAGAGAGAGGAAGAACTAGAATTGCTTGGTTTGAGTATAATCTGCACTTAACAGGGGTGTCGTAATATACCGAGCATAGTTCAGGGTTCATCTCACAGAACGGACTTCTTTGCTCAATGAGTACACAGTAGCTGGAGTTCATCTCTGCTTCAAAATCATAATTGACAAATCCCAAGCTTGTGTTGAAAAGGTTAACAGTTGGACAGAGAGTTGAATTACAAGAATAAATATTCCTTTGTGATGTGTGGAGTTTATCTAATCCTTCTAACTCACCAGGACACGTCTCATTCTCTTCAGTCTAAATAAAAGATAATTAATCGGGATAAACTAATTTGGTGTTTTTTCCTCTAAATAACATTTTCATCGAATCATGGGGAAAAGGGGGAGGGGGGCATTTAAAAATAGTCGTCTTTTATATATGTTACCTGAAACACTGATATTTCAGCTTGCGAATAATGAAGAATTGGGGAACAGGAAGGAAAAACAGGTTTTATCTCCAGGGTACAGTTTTCCTCCTCCTGGTTAAAGGAGAACCGTGTATGCTTATTTAAGTAGGATAAGCTCATGTCTCCGCAACCATATTCAGATTTGTCTTCGCTGAAAACTTTGAAACTCTGAGTTTCACTGCAAAGGATAGTTCTGCAACTTGTGCAGTATTGGTTCGGACATGAACAACGCCTGAATCTATAGAAATATAACCCTTCCACATAACGGAATGTGAATGAAGGATCAGATATGATTTTACTTAAATAAACCTTGTCTTGTACTCTAGAATCTTTACATGGTTTCTTACAACAATTATCTGAGTTCAGAGAGTCTTGAAGAGATACTAGTTCTAACACTAGTTCAACTCCCGGGTCCTTAGTTTTACCGAGACAGACTTGCAGAGTTTCGTTTATTTGTTGAACATTTTGGAATAATAGTTCGAGGCTTTCCTCGGAGTATTCAAGCTTCAGCGCAATATCATTCAATGCGTCCCTGCAGTTCAATGAACTGTTACTGCTGTGAACAAGAACAATTAGAAATCCTAACAAATAGTTAAACTTCATGATTAACAATCATATATTCTTGTTCACTTAACATCACTAAATAACAATCCGTAAAGATCACGAATCTTCAGACATTTTCATTTCTCTGAAAAAAAACACAAATATTTTGGCTTCATAGACACAATATACGGAGTAACGGATTGAGAACGTACAACTGAAAACTATAGATTTAGGTTATGTTGAAAACTTGAATGATTAAACTGACTTGATCTGGCTTCTCTGGCTTCACTGAGTATATATCGGCCGGCAAGAATCAAATCAGGGAACATTATACACTTTCTTCGATCAACTATAAAAATATTTAGAGATTTATCTTAGAAAGCTTGGGAAACAACACTATCGATCTGACAAAATTGAGTGCTCTTATAATAGACGTAATTGGTTTCAACTATAAGAGGACCAACTGGATGCCATATTTATCTCCAGATTATTGATTTTTTCGTCTGATTATATGGTCTGCTGTTGAAGCCTCTATGTATTTCGGTATTTTCACACAAACCTCGACTATTGCAAGGCTTCGTCAAGTCTAAAATAGGTAGAGAAATCAGAAACGGTTCTACTGAGAGGGAACAATACTACAGACATTGAAAGACATTAATGAGATATGGTTGCAGAAGGAGCAGGGAGATGTTTTCGAAACCGCGCTGGAAACAGATCAGAGTTCGTAACAGAGGCGTATTCAGGGGGGGGGG